TTGATTTGTTAAACATTTTTATGACAGCTGCTCTACTTGATTACATGTAGTTTATCTGCATCGTAATAGAGGTGTGAGTTTTAAAAAAGGATATCCTTTAGCACACTTTAGAACGGGGAAGGATTTGCCGTATGAAAAGACATGTATGTACTTAAATAATATATCTTATAAGGTAGGTACAAGTATAATGATGTAATTTTTTATGTCTTGAATATTTTCTTTTTCTTGATCTAAATTATGCGGCATTTAGGAAATATATTTCATTGAATGATTATGTTAATAATTTTATTCATGCAAATTATGAAACGAAATTTAAATTTCACTTTTCACACCTTTCAGCAATAATAAAAAAGTTGCTGTTCAAAATAAATCAAATTAGTTATAAGACTATTCAGGTAGACCCATAAATAAAATGTTTAACGAGGATGTATTAGGTATAACCGTTATAAAATTCTTTTAACAAATTTATTATTTCCGAATGGTAATGCCTTTTTTTTATTGGATAACTTTCACTAAATTTTTATAATAACTGATCGAATTCTTTCCGACAATTTTACGTTCTCTAATGATAACTTTCTAATTTTTTAATTTTTGTTTTGTTTTGTTAATTAATATTCCCTCGTTAGGTGTAGATATATCTTTTGTTTTGTTAGGCAATTGTTTCTAAAGTCAACAATTACTATACTTCACACCGCCGTTATTATTTAAATGAATTTCAAATAAATATTTGCAAAACAAAGGTAGGTAAGTCAAGGGCACTTCAAAGTGCAAATAAGAATGTGTACGTATGTTGAGTGACATTCCTGTGGACTGTTTGTCACTACAGATGCTTTATTAGGCTATTAGGCATTAAAAAAATACAATTCTTTGTATTTTGACTGTCCTTTCTCGGATTGGCAGGCGTTTTATTTTATTCTGTGATAAAATGAATTCGTATTTATAAACTATTTCAATTTTCTTCTGCCTATATTTAAATTAATCGTAAAAATTTCAAATACTGAAATGAATTGTGGCAGGTAAGACTCCAATTTAATTGATTTTTGTTCATTACAGTGGCAAATTCGGACGGAAACGTTTCGTAACCCTTAAAAATAAAAAGTAAATTCGACCTATTTGTGTACAGGTAGACGCAGAAAATAGAAACAATATTTTACGCGAATTATTGTTATTTACTCTCTTATAATATGAGTATACGATAATCAATAACAACCCCTTTCAGTAAAGCTTCGTGGTCTCTTAGTTAATTTATTACTAAAAACGGAAAAATTAATATTTTAGATTATCTGAAAGTAACATCACAAGACAACTGTATAGGGTTTTAAAATTTATAAACAAAATCACTGCATTTTATTAACCCTAATGAATTCTTGTACTTGTCGTAATGACCACTGCCCCATACAGGTATCTATTTAATTAAAATCCTTTTCAATCACTGCGACACCAATAGAATTTTGTAATTTTAATTGTTTTAATGATTAATTGTTACACGGTTGATATGAGTAATATGAGAAACATGGTCAAATTTTCACAATTTCGATTTTAATGTTCGTTAAAATTATTTAACAATAACTAACGGAAACTAATGACCTCTAACGTTACTTATTAAACAGAAAATAAGGAAAAAAAAACGCTTTCCAATTATATTATTTCTTCTTATCTCCCACTAAAAACAATGTGTTGCAAAGTGGGTCGGCTCGATTGTCGTTATGGTGTGTGAACGTTTAATAATAATTGCACATGCAAAGCTCTTTTTATGGCAGAAGGACGTCCCTTTCTCAGCGGCAGCAAACATTCCCATGGTGTCATGTTGCTACAACATCCCATGATCCACCATTTACGCATTTATTCTTTTGTTCATCTCAAAGTTAGCAAAAGATATCGCGTGTTCTTTTGTTTTTTCGAATGAAAAAAAAACTGTAATAAGAAATTGTCTTTACTTAAAAGAAAACGCATTCTCTGTGACATTTAAGGTATCAATATATACTATGAGTACATACTAGTTATTGAAATCAACGTTTATTCTTGATTGATGCTTTAAAAAATTATAATGCTTAGGAATGGTATTTATCAAATATTTTGTAATATCCGTGGCTTTTGTTATATGTAGAAATAAGCCGAAGAACTACTAAAAACCGCGTTTTCGAACATGTCTGTCATATTAACAAAAAAGATAAGAATCCTGGAACACTGAATACCATGTTCGACATTTAGTAATCATTCAACACCTAATAAAATTCGACTCCCAAACTCTAAAATTTTGCATTCAAATATTTCAAATAAATAATCATCATTATTGTTATTATTATTAGAACATTTAAAAATAAAATAAGTACTTAGCCGATAAATCAAACAAAATTCCCCAGTTATCTAAAAGCAACTTTAATCCTGTACCTACACTCCCTCCGTTTCCTTTTGTAATTAAGCAAGTTTAAATTATGATATTTATATTTTTAATCTTAGGAACAATTCGCAAGCACTCTTGATAATGTAATTGTATATAACAATCAGAATAATAATAATAAAACTTGTGAGAAATTTTAAAAGTTCATACAGAACACAGACAGGATATAATACAATCTTTGTATCTGTGTTACCTTAAGTTATCACTAATAGTAAGCAAACTTGTATTTGATAAACGATATAGGTAAACCTGAACTTTTCTGTATGGGCATAATAAACTCGAAGTTGAAACTGGTATGGAGTAGGTACCATTTGCAAGTATACCTTCCATTTAACATCTTTACAGGTAGTAAATACATATTATCATAACATTTTTTTGTTTGTTCAACAAACACTGATAGCATACTTTTATTAGTTTAAGTACAGCATAACTAATTATTCTTACTATCGAACGTGCATCGATGGTAACTATGATAAGACTTTGAGTTTATCGACTAATATTGAAATTACCAAATTAAAAATCTACTTTTAATTGGATCGAAATTAGCACTACTTTTATTATTAAAAGCAAGCTGATATAATGTTGATATCAGTAGGAGTTTAATAACGATGAAGAATTTTAGTAGGTTATCTTGTTTAAATATCGTAAAGATGTTCCCGAAAACAAGATTGGGTTTTTGAATAGGTGTTAGGCACCAACCAAGCGCAACGGAAATCCACTGAAGAGAAGGTATCGCTATTGCAACACAATTGTAACGTCAATTATGATCTAAATTAGACTAAATTAAGTAACAGATGTTCTATATTGATGAGATGTAAAACTTGATCGTTATGGGATAAGGCAACCTATTTGGATTAAACATGTGATGCCCGACTCACAATGACTAAATGCTTTCTAAAGTAATTATTATTATTTTTTTTTTGAACTAATAAAATCGGAATCCAATCCAATTCAATTATTTATTTGCTATTTAATGCCCCATGAGGATTTATTCAATCGAAACATTCAATGAACCACGTTTTGAATCATGAAAAAGAAAAACCATCGAATTCAATGTCATTATTCAAGTTCAAAGCGGAATGCTAGGAACTGCACATGCAATGAACTTGGTTTTCTGTAAACAAACCTAATTAGAGATTATCGATGTTCTAAAATAGGAGTTTCAGCTACAACGATGTTGTCTTCTAGTCGTAATTCGCTCTATTTCCCACAGAATAGGAGCAAACGCTCAATTTAATTGGTTGGAATACCTGATACATATATAATTTATGCTCAAAAGCTTTACAAGTAAATGAAAATATGCCCAATGTAAAAAGCTCAATCTTGAAGGTAAATTAAATCCGGTATAAAATTACTACCAATAGCAGAAGAGGAAGGAAGAGAAATTGATTCAAATAAATACCTATAGATAATAATCAGTCAAATACATAAATACGAAGAAAAATACATTGACATCTAGGTTTCGATGAGTGGGTGTGCAGGATGTGTTATAAGGAAAATGGACGATACACGACAGGGCACTTAATATGTCATAAAGAAACAATGGGATATCAAAAACAAGAAACTGTAACTTTTACTGATGGGTGGAGAGGTGAAAGAGATGATCTGGATTCGGAAAATTTATTAAGGGAAACTTTAAAGGGTAACTATACCGGAAATACGTGATTAAAGTTAAGTTAAATTATATTTTGATACTAATTCATTGTTTTTTAGTCTAAACAATTATTGAAACAGTCCAAAATGAAAAACAAACGACGAGTAATTATAATTTTCAAAAGAATAGAAAATAAATAAAAATGAAACAAAAATACTCGTATGCAAAGGAAGAAAAAGTAGGGAGAGAGCGAATATAAAGATAGGAGACGAAAATTAGAAAAAGTGGTTGATTTTAGGTATCTAAGAAGTCAGATAAGTCAGTACAGAAGGAGTAGTAGGGATATAAAGCAGAGGATAGCGCAGGGTCGAGTCTCCTTGTTGCCTTCAATAAAAAGAAGTGACTTCTATGCTCGCGAACGATTAATTTAGAAATTCGAAAAAGATTATAACGGTGGGCGCTACGGAGGTTAGAACCGTTACAGGCTAATGATGAGAATACCGTGGATAGAGAAGGTTAGAAATGAAGAGGCATTAGAAAGAGTAAGAGAACAGAGGACTCTATGGAAGTCAATAAGAAATAGGCGAGATAGGTTAGTAGGACACCTTCTCAGGCATGAAGGTCTAGTCAGAGACATATTAGAGGCAGAAACGGGAGTTAGGAGGGGTAAAGGTAGACCTAGATTAGATTGTTCGCAAATAGTAAAGGATATGGGTTGTTCTAGTTTTAGGAAAATGCGAAGATTACTTCAGGATAGGAAAGAGTGGAGGTACGAGTCCAACCAGTCTTAGGACTGACGACTTTATGATGAGAATGAGATTGCTTCTATCTTATATTATACAATAATATATAATTATATAATATTATATAAGATTTACTGTAGGTATTCCTTGGAGAATGGTAGCGTGACCGAAACTTATTGTTGTTAGTAGTTTTCTATCATGTTTTTGTGAGACTACCCGTATAATCATCATATTATATTAAGTGAGTCAATTCGAAACTTACTGTTGGCCCAGACTCATTTAATGACGAGTAACTGGAAGACCTGCTTCCGAGTGGTTCTGGACTCAGACTTCCATAGCTGGTCGTGGACGTTAAGGACACTGTATCAGCTCTACTCCTATAAGGAGAAAGCTGCACGTGTTTCATCATCTGCAAAAAAAAACACACCTACACGTATTATAAATGTAGCAAAAATTTCCTCAATGCATGGAACGGGCGAGTTAAAATTAAGTAAAGCTGTTTATGATAATAAACAAAGTTAATTGGTAACCTACGCCTAAAATAAAATCGCAGTGAAAGAAAATGGGAATGTGTTTTTCGAACGCAGTTATACTGAGATTCGCGGATGTTAGTAGTTTTTGCAAATGTTACTAGGTTATAACCATAATATTTATGCGATAGAAATAATCCAGAATTTCTCTGGTACATGGTACGTGAAATAAACAAACGAGTGAGCATTGGATAAACATGAGAACAATTAACAACAACAAGGAGAATGTTTCTCGCTGATATACAACATACATCTACTAATAAACAATTCTGTTCAAAGAATTTTTAATCTACATTATTATAGTTAATAAAAATGGATGCTGAAATTTACTATATACTATGAAAAAAGACAGACGCTACAAGTTCATTGATTAATTAATTAATAAAAACGTTAATTGTAGGTCCTAGAAAAATTATAAAACATTTAACAATTAAATACATATGCAAAATTTCCAAAAAAATACTATGTCGATATGGAAATTTTTTATTTGCCATGTGACTAAATACTTACTATACATGTATTAGTTATGTTAATTGCTGTTTCATCAAATTTCCAATATTTGTCATCATATAAACAACACAGAAAACTGAATCAGCATACGGTCATCATTTTGAGTGATTTTTAGTGATATTTCTAATGTCTAATATGCAAAATAATTATTTTTACACCGCTGGTTGCTATATTTTATTGGTGTTCTATACTAATAAACAGTTGTGTTACTCTAACTGACATTATTTTTCAATATTTTTTTTTGCAAAAATTAGACTCATAAAAAATAACAATCTACAACAGGAAACCCCTTGCAATTAAAAGCTGTTTCATTTATGTACTTTACAGCAGGTGTAAACTCTTTAGAAAGTAAATTACCCGGGGAAAACCTTGACATATTAAGGAAATTGAATAACAAATCTAATTTTGAATGGAAACAAACAAGAACTAAATTTAAACTTTTAAATAAACTTAAGACTAAAATCTTCTGAATATAAATAGATATTTACAAATCAGCATAACATTGTAGGCAAATTATATTTATATTTAATTACATACAATAAAATTCCAAATGAAAAGGAAAATTGAAAATTTTTGGTATCAATAAAAGTAACTTTTGAAAGTTTTCCTGTTTGTGCACGAGACATTTAAAAAGGAGAAACAAAATCTTTGTCGGGAGAATAAAGTAAGCCAACAAGATTGCCGTAAACCATCCATGAACTCATAATTAGATACATTAGCCTTACAGAGGATGACATCTAGCAAAAAAGGTTAATTACACTACACTACACCACACTGCACTACCTCAAAGACTGACCGAGCACAATTATTTTTAAGTCGATGCTAGCGATGAAGATATGGGCAATTTTGAATAATGGACACAATAATACAACTAATAATGAAAAATAATTGGAACAACGTCATTGAAAATAATTGTAGAGGACGTTCACGAAACCAACTTTTAAATTTGGCTTTTTAATTTTTAAGAATTTGAAAATTAAGATTCTTCCCACAATTGCTACATTTTCCAAGAATGCAGGTTTTCAAGGTTTACCAGATTAGTCGACACCTTGTGATATCTAGCACTCTTCTACTTTATCATCATCATCATCATGAGGTCGCAAGTCCTAAGACTGGTTGGACACGTGCCTCCACTCTTTCCTATCCTGAGCTAAACTTCGCATTTCCCTAAAACTAGAACAGCCCACATCCTTAACTATTTGCGAACAATAATCTAATTTACCCCTTCTAACTCCTGTTTTTGCCTGTAATATGTCTCTGACTAGACCTTCATGTCTGAGAACGTGTCGTACCAACTTATCTTGCCTATTTCTTATTGACTTCCATAGAGTCCTATGCTCTCCTATTCTTTCTAATACACCTTCATTTTTACCCTCTCTATCCACGATATTCTGATCATTCTCATGAAACACCACATTTCGAACGCTTCTAACTTTTTCTTTTCCGCCGCGCCCACTGACGATGTTTCGCACCCGTACAACGCCGTGCTCCAAACATACACCTTTAACAACCTTTTTTGAATTTCTACTTTATACATAATATTTATTATAATTGAACATTTTGTGGGTGGTCTCCTAGACGGGCTTCCCGAAGGGTTGATGTTTGTCTCAAAAAAGTAAGAGATCGTTGTCACAATGCAAATATGTACTTACCTAATTTTACTTAAAATTTGCACGTTGTCAAAATGAATTTCTCCGAAAGTGCTTTGTAAATTAAAACAATATATTGATAGTTTATGTATACATGTAAGAAAGATGCAGGGCCGGGACAAAACCTCATAAATGAACAAGAATGTTGAGGGCTGTTAATTGGTTTCTTAAACATAAACGCGTTATATCTACATGTGCATATTTCCAAAACCGCAACTGCTGCATGCACAACCGATTAGGCACTTCACTTGAGTAATTCCCACAAAGTTATTTAATCCATACGTATGGATTACAATTTTAAACAAACATAGTTATGTGCGACTAAGGCGATAATGGATATAATTCGTAAGAAAATGTACGTCATACGAATGGCATTACGCGAGGTGACGAATTGATTCGTGTTATTAGGTGTGGTAATTTTAATTTAAGTTGATTTTCATCAACACTTTGGAAAAAATATTTATTGAAAACAGAAAGTTATAAGCGACTACATAGTACCACAATGCAGTCAGTAAAAGTTACTTTCTACGTATGGATTTGCTCTTGAGAGTTTCAATTTCCATAATATAAATAATATTCTGTCTCAATATTGTCAGATAAAATTAATCATGGTAACAGCAACAATATTGGGGAAAAATAATTTAAGAACAGGTGTTATTGTCGAAATTCTAATAAATTAGCTACAACTTATAAAAAATCGTCAACGTGCCCACCTACACACATTGTTCTTATTTTCGTAAGGTTCTTATGCATTTTAAAATTGATGAACTATTGCAAAACAACAAAAATTTATAAGGTTACATTATCGTCTTGTTTTCCACACGCAAATTTCAGCATCTGGACGACCTGGACGTAGGAAGTTGTTGAGGATTCTAAAAGTCTCACCTGTGTATGGCATTTCGCCCACTGTAGTACCATTGGCTGGTTTGTCTGGACCATTTAAGGAGATTGTGTTTAAATTTTATACAGTGAGTGGAGGTGTACGTATTGAAATGTTACGAGTATTCTACAAATGAATGACCCCACTTTACAAAATGTTACTTTCAGAATATTATAAACGTAGGTCTATACGAATAACGAATTAATTTGCAGAAGAAATAACACATGTATGCGAACTGGGTCACTAATTAATAAATACAAATTTCTAATTATCTATTATCCGTTATCCTATTTTTAAAAAATTTGTGGGGAAATGTATTAACTTTTTATTTATTATTAGCGTTTTACCGACTTTCGGATTTACACTTTCAAAATTCTAAATGAACTTATCATGATAAGGTCGTCAGTCCTAAGACTGGTTGGACACGTACCTCCACTCTATCCTGTCCTGAGCTAATCTTCGCATTTCCTTAAAACTAGAACAATCCATATCCTTAACTATTTACGAACAGTAATCTAATCTAGTTCTACTTCTACCCTTCCTAACTTCCGTTTCTGCCTCTAATATGTCTCTGACTAGACCTTCATGCCTGAGAAGGTGTCCTACTACCCTATCTCGCCTATTTCTTATTGACTTCCATAGAGTCCTCCGTTCTCTTACTCTTTCTAATACCTCTTCATTTCTAATCTTCTCTATCAACGCTTGTAGTCTTTTCTTTTCCGCCGCGCCCACTGTCCATCTTACGCACCCGTACAGCGCCGTGTTCCAAACATACACCTTTAACAACCTTTTTCGAATTTCTAAATTAACCGTTCGCGAGCATAGAAGAGACTTCTTTTTATTAAAGGCGACACGACCCTGCGCTATCCTCTGTTTTATATCCCTACTACTCCTTCCGTCCTGACTTCCTAGATATCTAAAATCGGCCACTTCTTCTAATTTTTCGTATCCTATCTTTATATTCGCTCTTTCCCTACTTTTCCTTCCCTTGCATCCCAGTATTTTTGTTTTACTAAATGAACTATTGTAATAAATTTTAAACAATTTCTTAAAGCATATTTATAATCAACAACGACATTTGTAATATGTACATAAAGGTTTTTGTCGTTACTACTAAAAGTAGAAGTTGTGTTTCCGCAATCTAAAGTTTATGTAGGGTTATAATAATATATCTTCCGTATTATGTATTTGTACGAGTGTTTACGATTGTAACATGAAATACTTCATTTGCTCGCCTTGACCCAGCACTACCGTAATAATTGCCGTCTGTATCACGATTAAAGAATGTGACGTCTTGCAGAATGGATATCATCACTACGATCATCGTTACGTCAATGACCGTTACTAATTTTATTTAACGCATTTATATATACCGATAGAAAAATACCTTTATGCGACAATACGTAATAAAAGTTGCACATGAGAAACAACGACTAATGAATTCTTTCTTATTAGGAGTTCGTTCTTTCCTAGGATGACCATTCTTTGTTTTTTTATAATAAATATAATCCTCTCATTAAGTACGTTCCCCATCTTTCTCTTATCAAATTGAAACCCATCACAAATATTTCTCCTAACCTAACTTTAATTAACTTTAAATTGGGAAAATAAACTTAAACCTACAAAAAGACTATCTTTACCTAATTTGAGAATTAGATGGCGAAGACCATAGATTTAAAACAAATCTTTTGTAAAGAAAGAAAAGGTTTTTAGCTTTAATGAGGATGCTGTTTTATTCTTTTGTTGGCAGCATGCGGTGCTTTAACTGAGCTTCATAACGAGGGAAGAATTGTGACAAGATGCTGACCCGATTTCTTAGAACATCCTACAACAGAACAGG